CAAGGTAGCTGAAAAAAGGAAACAAGGCCATGCAGGTGAACATGCACGGCTAGGTTGGTTTTTTGCTTGAGTCTTGTTTCTGGGTCCCTTGGAGACAAGGGCAGAAGAAAAGGAACTGACATTGCCTCTAGGCTGTGCAGTGTTTGCAGTCTGTGCTGTCTCAAGGAGAAAGGCAGTTTAGGAAGAGCCCAGATAAAAAACCTGTCACGCATGGCATTTCTGGAAATAAGCACCTAGTCTTCCTGGCATGCACAGCAATGGAAAAGAGGGGCAACAATGCAAGGGCAATCCTCTCTTGGATGGTTCATCAGCATTTAAGAAACTTGAAAACCTCAGTCCCAAAGAACTGTGGAGGCAATGAACTTAGAAGGTATTGAATTCTTAAGATAGGGCTGATGCAGGTTTTTGAACAATTTTCAGTCTGCATTTGCCAGGGTGGATTCATGAAGACAAAATGCAGTCTCTTCCCATCCATTGGAGATAAGTAGAGAAATAATCATTAACAGCTCTATTTCCTGCCACTGACCAAAGTGGGTTTTTAAGCTCTCATGCCTGTAGTATGTAAAGAAACATTCAAGGGATAGGACCGTGACCACTCACCTGGCTAAGTAATTCACAATCCTGGGACTCCTATTACTCTCCATGATCCTGATTTCATTCATGGTTAGTATCTTCCTACTCACTCCTTGCACATTTATTTTCTTTATGGCCACCTCAAAGGACATTGAAAGGAGTAACTTGAGAAAATTGGTAGCATGAGACCACAACCCACATGGAGCAAGTGATTTTGGAATGGCACAGCCAAGCTGTGCCAAAGTGCCTTGTGATTAGACCTGGTCATTGGAGTAATTAGGAAGTGACATTGCAACAGCCCATTTCTCTGCTCCCTTGGGGGCCAGTTACAGGACACATGGCCACTGGCGATTTGCCTTGTCCGCTTGGTAACAAAGGTGTATCAGCGATCACCCACAAAGCTCTGACCACACTCTCTGCTGCTCTGCTTGGATTCAAAAGAAGGAATGGGTGCCTTGGTTCTCTGTGGATACATCCTGGGCTATGGGCAGGCCTCAGGGCTTTTAGGAACATCTTGCAGATCTCTCCCTATGTGTGGCTCCCAAGTGCAGCACTGCACGTGGCTGAGGAACTACCAGGAGCATTCAGATGTGTGTGGCTCCCAAGTGCAGCACTGCACGTGGCTGAGGAACTACCAGGAGCATTCAGATGTATTTGCTGGCAGCCAGAAATGAGAATTCAGGACTCTGAAGCTGTAGCCCCAAAAAGCAGGGAGATGCTCTAAGACACCACCTTTGTTTTAGCAATTGAGAGCGTGTGGGCACGTCCTTCTCTGAAAGGAACCGCTGCCCTCCTTGTCTTCCTACGGGCAGCTGAGGAGGACAAAGCCTGTTCCAAGTGCAATTTGCAGGCTGGCTCCAGTCTGTGCTTCTTGTGCCTTTTCAGCACAGCTCTCCTCAAAGCTCCAGCCACAGCTGTCAGCAGTGGGGAAAGGCCTGGAGAGCAGCAGAGGCTGCAGGGGCTGTTGCCATTTACCTCTCCTCCTGTTGCAATGTCAAGTGCTCTGGAAACCTCTCCAAAACCCCTAGAAACAAAACAGCAGCAAAGAAAGGAGAAGCCATTTAGATCTTGCAGTGGAAGCCAGTCCAGACAGGAGAGCTCTGCTGTAAATGCCTAAAAGCTGCAGGTTGCAGGAGGGGTCTGCCAGAAGGCAGATGATGCATTTTCCCCTCAAGTGCCTGGGCACTGGGCCTGTTCCTGAAGCCTTGGGCTTTACTGCCTCAGCTCCAAAAGGCAGCTTATTCCTTCATCTCGGCTATCAGCTTCTAAACTGTGCAATTCTAATCCTGAGCACGGAGTATTTCCTTTAGCAAACTCTTGGAGAGAAATGTTCCTGAGAACTGTTATCTGACAGCTCTCATTGGGGGTAGGTTGTGCTTTCAGGCAAGCAAGATTCTTCTCCTTTCATTAGTGTGGCCAGATGATTTGGAGACATCCAAAAATGCGAAGGAAATGAATCCTGAGCTGTCCCACACTTGAGAGACAAGCAGATTTCCCAGGTTCTGTTCCTTGCTGCAGGCAAGACCTTGGCAGCATGGAGATGTCTTTGACAATGCCTTCTGAGCACACTTGACAAATTCTGGCCAGTACTGAGAGATGGGGCAGACTAAGCCCGCTGTCTAAACATGTGGACAACCTGTCTGACTTCCCACTTGATGGATATTCCCCCAGTGAAACACCTGGCCCATGGCTGTGTAGAAGTGACTGTGGTTGGACTCACCCGCTGCCAAGACTTTCCAGTTCGATGTACTTTGTGACAGGATTTTCCTTGTTCACCATTCTCCCTGAGGGAAACAAAATGCAAGATGCTGACTTTCAGGCAGAGATCCGAACTTGCAGGAGATGCCAAAGGCAGCCCCGCTGTCTGGGGCTCTGAACCCTCTGTGGTCAGCTGGGCAGCAAGCACAGCAGCAACAAGACAGGCAGTTGTGCAGTACAAATGGGCAGCAGAGAGACTGATTTTGTCCAGTCCTTGGAAGGAAATGAAGCGCAGAGAGCACAGCAGGGCACAGCACAAGGCTGGCAAAGGCCAAGCATGAGCACTGACAAGCAATGGCAAGAAGACACAGCCAGCCTGAGCCCCTGACAAGCTGTGGCCCCCGTTCAGGACACACCAGCATTGCCTTGGAGATCAGACACAGCCAGGTGCAGATCAAGGCCCTTTTGTGTCCCAGCAGGTGAAGGTAGACACCAAATCAGCTGGGATCTTTTCTCAGCCCCACCAGGTCTTTTCTGAGAGCATAGCACTGGCAGCTGTTATGGGCAAGAAGCAGATTAAATGGGTTGTGCTGCAGAATCACAAAGGGCTTGATGTGTTTTCCCAGAGACTGATCTGAGCAGGGCTTGGGCCAATAGGTAGGATTCTAAGAGTCATGGGAATGGCTGGGAATCAGGGATGAAAAAGTGCCATGGATCTGAGGAATACACAGCACAGGGGCTGCAGGCTCGCTCCTGAGAAATGCCTGCAGTGCTGTTTTATCTGATCACACCACGTGGATGTGTCTCTTGGACACATCTTTAGAAAAATAAAACTAGGATATTAATTACAGATTGTTATACAAGTATCTGTTTCTTCATTGTGGGCCCAATGAAAACATCTCTTGCTCTGTTTCTGCTGTCACCTGATGTTCTTTCAAAGGAGTCCTCACTGACAAAAATACAGCATTCTCATAAAAACCTTGTAGATGTAGTAGAGGCAATAAAAACAGTCCTAAAAATGACACCAGTAAGCCAGTAAAATGACACATGGGGCAGAACAGCTCTTTCAGGATGGAGAAAAAGCAAAAACCCCTAAATGCAAAACCAAACAAGGATAAAAACTGAAAAGTATAAAAACTGAAAACTAAAAACGGAACCACAACAAAAAGACAAAACCCCAAAACCAATCAATATCTCTGAAGTCTTTTGGTTCTGATGGCTGGTGGGAAGTCTGGAGTCTAATGAGAATTTAGGAATCAAATATTCTTATCAGTTTGGCCACTAGCACACAGGACTTGCATAGATCATTTGCTGTGCCACAGCCTCCTGCTGATCCAAGAACAATTCCTGCTTCTGCCTTTAGTGGCAAGGGAATGCCAGGCAAAGCCGAGCCAGTCCAAGCTGCCCTCAGAGGCAGCAGGAACAGCCAGAGCGCTCTCTCGCTGCCTCAGAGCACAGCAGTTCCTGTGGGGAGTCCTAAATGTCTCTGGGACACCAAAGTGAGGAGGATCATTTGCTACAGCTCTGCTGGCACGTGCACACAATACACTGTCCCCCAGACAAGAAATACACCAGACGTACTCAGTTGCTCCACGAAGTCTCCCTGGCTCTCCTGGAGCTGAGCAGCAGATGTGTCACTGCTGGAAATGGACAAACTGCCCCGGCTCCACTGCTCAGCTTGGGCAACAAAGGCTCCTTTAGATGCTGCTGCTGCTGCTGCTGCTGCAGCAGATTGAATGGAAGAGCCTGTGTAGATCTGCGAGAAGAAAGGAGTTTGTGTCAGAAAGCTGGCTGGCAGAGATTACCCCGAGTTCCCTTTTCAAATGCAAGCCCTTAGGAAGTTGCTGTTAGCCACATGCAAAGCTCATCAACTGGATTTTTTGGATGCCCACTTCTGGAACCAAATGGTCAAAACCCAAGGTTGGTTTTAATCAAGTTGATGGCCAGTTTCATATTCCATTTTCCTGGATTTTCTGAAGGATGACTGCAACAACGACCATTGCACTTCCTCCCACGGATCCCTTTCCCCCTCCAAGGGCTGCAGACACATTTGCAGCTCCTTGTTCTAATGTTGGAGCTCCTCCCCCTCAGTCCTCTTTTCCTGCACCATCTTCAGAAGGTGCTCAGCCTGCAGCACTTGTGCTTGGGACAGTACCTGTGCCTGCCGCCGACCTTGGGGCTCCTCATCAGCCGGCATTTGCTGGAAGCCTTCGCAGGCTGCCAGGTGAGATATCAACACGTCCACCTCAAGTCAAAGAGAACAAAGCAGTCAGAGACCACAGCTTGTCCCTGTGTGCCAAGGCTCATTGACTGTGAGCAAAGGGAAAGAGCAGGACAGCAGCAGATTCACCAAGGGATACAGACAGCTTGCAGCTTGTATTCCAAATCTGTCTGGGGGACTGTGTTCACTTGCAAAAAGCCCTGAAGAAACAAGGAGAGCAGGAGCAGGCCAGCAGGAATCCCTTGAGATGAGTGCTGGCAAAAGGGGCAAATGACTGGTGCCACTGTCCAGGGCAGCAGCTGAGATTGAGCACAGCAGGAAATGTCCTTCCAAGCAGCTGGGATAGACACTACAGCAGGATGGCACTGAGAGGCATCAGCCCAGCCCCCTGCTGCTCTGCAGAGGAAAGGCAAGAAGGGCAGAAAGCACCAGACTGCAGTGACTGCTGTGCCTATCGCTCTTTCACTCACTCGATTTTCTAGAGCCTCTTGCTGCTGAGCGAGGAGATGGAATTTCTCTTCGATGATTCTCCTTTCTTCCTCCAGCCTCTCCTCCCTTGCCCTGATCCTAGCCTCAGTTTCCTGCAGCTCTGCCAGAAGCTCCTCCTCGGAGGCCTGTGAAGAATGACAGAGAGGAATTTCCATGAGTGGAGTGTCTGCCACTCTTTCACTCACCTGGTTCTGTTGATTTCCTCTCTGCCAGGGGAGATTCATCTCCTCTTCGATGCTTCTGTCTTCCTCAGGCCTCCTCTTCACTGCCATGATGGCCCTCGGAGCTTCGGGCAGCTCTGCCTGGGGCTCTGCCTCGATGTTCTGTACACACAAATGGAGAGCAAGTGCCTGGGAGCTGCCATCAGGCTCAGCTTCTTCCTCAGTTTCAGCCTCAAAATCACACTCATTCAGTCACTTCTTTCTGCTTCCCTACCCACCTCTGCTTCCACTGTAACCTCCTGTCCCGCTGCTGATCTCTGCAGAGGCTCTTTGCTTTCAGGGCCTCTGGCACTCGTGGCCTGCTCAGTCCCAAGAGCTGCGTTTTATGCCCCTCTTCCTGCCCTTCACTCTGTCCCCTGCTGAGTCAGCCTTACCTGGCCATTCTCCAGTGGCTCTTCCACCTGCTGCCCCAGCTGCTCTTCCTGCTCTTGGGCTGGGAACAGCTCTCCCTCAGGCTGGCACGGCCGTCCTGATAAAACAATCTGCTCCTGCTCTTTCTCTAGGAGGACCTGCAGAGAAAGCAAGAGAAGATGGGCTTCAACTTCTCATCCAACATTTGTGGGCCAAGACTCAAAGGCTGATGGGCTCCCACGTTCCCAAAGCTCTGTGCTGCTGCTCTCCTGCCTTGTTCTCTGCCCGTGGGGAAGCACAGATTCCAAAGTGACCCTGGCAGTGCAATCAGGGCCCATCTGGCACTGAATCTCCAACAGACTCTTGGGCAGCTGACAGGAAATGTGGGGCATTTCTCAAGGGCCTCCCTCCCCTTCTGCTGTGTCCTGCTTGTCTCTCCCTAGTGACTGACAGCCAGCCCTGTCCCACAGCTCCATCCTGGCTCTGCAGGGGCTTCCTGGGTGAGCTCAGCCCTTGGGAGAGACACTGCTGGAGTTCATGTTCTTTTCAGGCCTGCACTGCCACTCCTGCCCCTCTGACATCTACACTCTTGTTAGAAATCCTGCTCATTCAGGAGACAAGGATGTGTGCAATTGGATCCTCTGCTGCAGGTCAGAGAGCCTCTATGGCCACCTCAGGATATGGAAGAGGACCAAGGTGTTTCTCCTCCCTCTTTTGTCAGCTGAGAATTCTGAGTGGCACTGACAGAGATCCTCAAAAGGCCCCACCAACAAATTAATTGACACACCCCTGGGGATGCCAATGAAGGAAGCCATGGGTCATGTAATGCATGTATGACCAAAGTCACCAAAAACCACCTAAACCATGGAATTGTCCCACCTCACTAGGACAGGCAGAAATTTAGAGGTTAAACAGGGAGTGTCAGGACAGAAGAGGCAGGAGGAGGAAAACAGCTCTGAGTACAAAAAACAACCATCTCTAAAGGGGTTCTTAGCAACACAAGACAGCACTCAAGGACTTGCAGCTTTGCCCCCACACTAGGCTCCAATGCAGTTTCCAAAGCTGCAGACTTCACCACAAAACGTATCAAGAGAAACTTGCCACTTGTGGATTTTGCCTCAGAAGAAGGGTTCAGAACTACACAGTTTGTTTCTTTGGCCACACAGGACAAGAATGGCCGGCCACAGCTTCATGGACAACACAATCATCTCCTTGCAGCTTATCAAAAGCCAAAAGACAGGTGGCCTAAAAGACTCTGCAGAAGTGAAGAATTACTCCAGAAAACTGCAGAACACTTCTCCAGGTCATGCAGAGGTTTCCAAAAAGGGACAGCAAACAAAGCAAGCCCTGTGAGCCCCAGAAATGCCGTGTGAGCCCTTGGCCATGGCTTGGCAGAAGCCAAGAGACAGAGCTTCCCTGAGCCAAGCAGCCAGCTGCTCACCCGCAGGCAGCAGCGCTTTGGGGCCTCAGCACGACGGCTCAAAGCCCAATTTCCAGCTGCCACGGGATGGGGGAATGGCTGGGTGCTGGCAGGACTCCAGCACTCAGCATCCTCAGCCAGCAACAGCAAGTGCTGGCTGCTCAGAAACTTGCAGCTCTGCCTTGCACTAAAGACAGCAGCACCCAGCACTGGCACTTACTGTCTGGGCA